TGCCTTTTATAACAAATATTCTGTAATTCTGCCTTGAATACCCTAAATGAAACTCAGGAAAATATGTTACACATAATTTTAATAGTCAATATAATGCCCTTACTTTGGTGTAAAGAAATAAAGAAGAGAAATGTATAAGAAAATGATACATATTTTGATCTGCAGGTGTTTGAATATGACTACATTAGGAGACACAATGTTTGCATCCACCTATAAATACACTAGTTTGTATATAAGAGAACGAAGAAATCAGAAGGATGCCACACAGGATGTGCAGAAAAATGAAAGAGCAGAGGGACGATGCATAACAGACTAAAAACTAGTGCAGGATGAGCGAGTATATGTGTGGTACCAACAGACCAGACATGTCTCTATGTGACATGAGAAAGAGAAGTAACCTTAATTGAGCCTCTGAGAAAGAGCAGATGGTCAGGGTGAAGAAGATGAGGAAGTGTGGTCGTCTCACAAACGTACAGGCTCTATATGAGTGGCTTAAAAATACTTCTCTATGTTTTGAAGGGGTAGTGATCAAGTTTTACAGAAAATTGATCTGTTTTGAAATCCCACCACATGTTAGGGCATATGTTCCATCTCTAGAACTCAGATTCTAGAGACCACATGCTTTGATATGTGATGGTAAACAGATGAATTGGAAAAAGAGAAATGATGTGGCGTGGACTTCTAAGGTGGGTACTGGAGGAAGACTGAAAAAAAAGGCAAACCCACCTCACTACTTCCCTAAAAAAACCCCACCATCATAATTTCCATATGTCACTTTCTTAGCATAGCTTTCTTACCACCGTGCTATGAAAATGAAAACCATAGCAGGATGGTGCAGGTGATAGTCAGCGCCCTCCCCTCTCCCCTGAGCCATAAGTATGTCTGGGGGCGTACTTCCCACCTGCACCTCTTAGCCTGCGGGCTTGCCCAGCCCCCGAAGCCTCTGTCCACTCATGTGAGGGCTGGAAGTGCTGGGGAACTGCATCCTTGGGGTAGGCCTCCGTGACTGATGGGAGTCAGTGGCTAAATACCCCAGCTGCCTCACCCTGGGATGACTCTGGGGCGCTGGCTCCAGGTGTCCACAGTGCTGATTTGTTTGATATTTCATCTCTATCAGTTTCCATCCTTCCCCTCCCTGTCTCACTTCCCATTCTCCCAGTGCTTTCCTAGGACCACTTCCAGAGAAACTCGAAACTCTGAACTTGAAACTTTGTCTCACAGTCTGCTTTTGGGGACCCAAACTAAAACAGTTGGTGATAATCTGAAATATTTTTATAAATTTTATTGATTAAATTTAATGAGGTTCTAATTCTGTTAAAGAAATCTCAAATGTTGTTACATTTTTGTTGCTTTTGTAGGAATTGTTCCAGTGCAATGAAACTCTTTTCACCTAAATACGCAGTTGGAAATACTATAATAAATATTGTAGCTCCCATTTTAAAGTGGACAAATCAAAGTCTTAGCTGAATCCAAAACTTTTTGTAATTAGATTAAATAATTCTTTTGTCCTCATCAGTCCTAGTCAATGTCTACTGATTTCTCCAAAAGGGTGCTGACTAGAATCCCTGGAAATTTGAGACGGGGCCCCCCAAGCAGAATGTGGAATGTGACATGGCCAGCAGGGACATAGGTCACAGGAGTTGTCATCTGTTTGGAATTCGATGCTTTAGAAGTTTGTGATTCTTATCTTTGTTGCTGATGTTGGCCCCCTCTACTACTTAGTAATCTTCAGGAAAGCTACCAGTCTATCTCTGCTATATGAAAGCAACACTATGCTAAAGGCAGGGTGACATACACAGGAAAAGGCACTTGTCTGGGATGTTTGGTCAGCAACTTTCCTCCAGGACTCACCTGCAGATTTTCTTTCTGATGCCAAAACCTTAGAGATGCTGTGTTTTAATTTATTAAATGAAGACATGCCTTCACAACAAGAGACTCAAAATGGGTGGGATACAACATTTGTAAAACACACTCCTCCCTGCTAGGAGCTCTCCCTTTCAAACTTATCGCCATTACCCCAATGTGGAAAGCATATTCAACAAGACATAGCAAGGCAAACGGTGATTCCTAGTGATTGACAGAATGAGTTCTCCATGATACAATCTAGAGAAGACACAAGATGGAAGTCTAAGCAAAGACAAGAGAAACGATATACACTAAGGGTTCTGGGGATAAAGGTTGGATGAATTATGCTAGTGTAGGGTCTCTCAGCCTCTGTACTATTGATATTTTGGGCAAGAGAATGCTTTTTTTTTTTTGCTTTTTGGTGAGGAAGATTGGCTCTGAGTGAACATTTGTTGGCAATCTTCCTCTTTTTTTTTTCTCCCCAAAGCCCCAATACATAGTTGTATATCCTAGTTATAGGTCATTTTAGTTCTTTGTGGGATGCTGCCACAGCATGGCTTGATGAGTGGTGCAAAGGTCTGCTCCCAGGATCTCTTCCAGGGACCCCTGGGCTGCTGAAGTGGAGTGCACGAACTTAACCACTCAGCCATGGGGGCTGGCCCCAAGAAAATTCTTAATTGTGGGAGGTTGCCCTGTGTATGGTAAGATGTTTAGGAGTATACCTGTCATCTGTCCATTAGATGCCAATAGTGACTCCTTCTCCCAATTATAACACCAAAAATGTCTCCAGATATTAGCAAGTGTTCTCTGGAGGCGCAAATCACCCCCTGGTGAGAACCACTGCACTAGAGCGCCTCAGACTTTAATGTGCATACAAGTCAGCTGGGGGGCTTGCTAAATGCTGCTTTAATAGGGCCTGGCTCTTTAGTCCAAATGAGATCCTAGGTGAGGCCGAAAGTGCCCCTCCAAGGGCAAGACTTGCTTTTTGGAGGACGAACCTACAGCCTTCCAGTCAGCATGTACAGGTCCTTAGAGTGCATGGCAGGTATACACTCAAGTATGGATCACTGAAAATATTTTCAAGTAACTTTCATATTAAGTTATGCATTTCGTTGTGAAGAATGTTTGCAGAATTGAACTTAAATAAGTGAAGTGTTTTTTTTTAAACTTTAGATGCTTTATCTCCTATTTCAGCAGTTCTCAGACTTTAACGTCTTGGGATCCCTTTAACACTCTTAAAAATAACAGAATTGCAAGACCTTTTAATGTGGGTTTATACCTATCTGTATCTACCATATTAGAAATGAAAACTGAGAAATTTAAAAAATATTTATGAAATTCACTTAAAAATAACAATAATATACCCATTACATGTTAACATAACTAACATATTTTTATGAAAAATCACTGTGCTTTCTCAAGCAAAAAATTATGGGGAAGAATAGCATTACTTCACATTTTTGCAAATGTTCTTTAATGTCTGGCTGGATTCTCAGACCTGCTTCAGCTTTCAGTTTGTTGTGATACATTGTTCTGGCTGAAGTATATGAAGAAAATCCATCCTGACGCAGATACGTAGTTGGAAAAGGAAGCAGATTAATAGTCTTTTCAGATAATACAGCTGTTCATTTTTGATACTACGCCATAACTTAAGTGGTAGTTCCTTAAACAGTTGTAATGAGGAATCTGAAATCGTATCAATGAACTTTTTGTACTGTTACACTAAAACCTGTTGGTGTATCTTACAGTTTGAATTGACTTTTTTACCCATGCATGACTGTAACATCACTGTTCTGTCAACTGGAAAGTATTGGTTTGCTAAGTTATGTGGCCCTTCCAACCGTACAGTGGAAAACTCCACTGTATACCCCTGAGTGAACAAAGGTAAAAAAAGCCAAATGATGTCTTAGTATCGTTATGAAAATAGTTTTAGCTTTTTGGATTCCCTAAATGGGCGGAAGGTCCCCATAACTACTTTGACAACCACTGTCAGAGGTTTTGTAGTCAATCAACAGCTTCTACAAACATAAAGCACCTTTAAAGGATCATTTTATTGCAAAATAACTCAATTAGATGCATCTAAAGTTATATGTAAAGTGTATTTCAAGATTGTGAACAAACTTTACAAACAGGACCTAAAAAAATAAAAGTCACATATACTTTTGCCTTATAGAAATTATCAATGTCAATATTCTTGCCCACTGGCACCCCTTCTTAAGGGCAGGGACTGTGTTTTATTGATCCACAAATTCCACATTTAGCACAATGCCTGGCCCTTATGAGCACTCAACAGGTTGTTTTTAAAAAAAGCACGCTGTACATAATTTTGCAGCCTGTCCTTTTCATTTAGCCTTGTAGTTGATCAATTTCCCCATACTATGTATTCTTTAACGACTGCGCAATTTAAGTTTTCAGGCTCAAACTCATTTAAAAAACCGTGACTTTGCTTTTAGCAAAGAGTAACATCATTTTTCAATGGGGAAAACATTAAATGGCCTGGGCCCGGAAGGACGCGGGGGCAGAAGTGTGGGGAGCAGGGTCGCTCCCCACAGACTCGCCGCGCCGGGGACGGGTTGGGGTCCCGGAATAACGACGCTCGGCGCTTTGTGTGAGGATTACGTGCAGGACCAACGTGGGAAAACGGGGGCAGCCGGACCACCCCACTCCCCACGACGACCCCTTTCACCCACCGCGCGGCTTCTCGCCCTTGGCCGGACACCGGAACTCGACACGGTTCTCACTGTCAACAAACAGTCGCCGGTCGGGGGGAAAGGGGGGCGGGTGGGGTGACGGCCCAGAAAAACTGAGCATGCGTGGAACGCGCCGCGCGTCCCGTCCGGGGAGAGGTTAGAGGTCATGAGGAATGGCCCCGCGCCGGCGTTCTAGAGGAATCCGCTGCCAGCGCGTCTGCACGGGGCGTGTGGGGGGAGCTGAGCACTAGTGTGCGGCTCCCACAAATTCCTCCCACGCCATCCCATTCCTTTTTCCCAAGGGCACCCGCGGCGTCGGCAAAACCGGGAGAGGCGGACCCTTCCCGTCGTGCACGCACTTCCCCTTCCCAGCAGGAAGGGAGCCTCGGACGGAGCGCGGCGCCTCACGGGCTGCGCGTGCGCTGTTCACATGCGGCCCCTGGAGCGGAATCGAGTCTCGGGATTCGCCGCCCCGCCTGGAGTGCGCCTGCGCAGTCGCCGGGTGCCTCCACCTCCGTTTCCCCTCCCCGTCCTCCCGCGGGGGCTAAGGCTCTGGCGGGACCATGTTCACCAGCACCGGCTCCAGTGGGCTTTGTGAGTACCGGCCGCCGCCGTCCTGGCTGTCCCCTACATGCCATCTTGCGCACCTCCTTGAGGAGGCTGGGGCAGCGGGAACCCTCGGAGTTGCGGGAGATTTGGGGGCAGTCCTCCATCCCCGTTCCCGAGCCTTGGTGGTTCCTGCCCGTGAGGGGCAGCGGGCACCGCCCCCACCTCAGCCTGGCGGGGCCAGGGGGACTGAGTCCGGCCGCCAGCCCCGGCCCCCACCTGTGAGCCCCAGGTGCGATGCTCAGGTGTCCCAGTGGGCCGGGCAGTTAGGGCCGGGCTGGGTACCCTGGTGTTCTGCCCCGGCCCCTTGCCCTCGGCGGCGCGTCTGCCGGGCTGAAAGAAGAGGCTGTCCCGGTGGAGGCGGTGCTGGACGCCTGCCCCTTCCTTGCTCCGTTGCTCCATTCATTTAGGCTACAGAGGACCGAACTGGCTCTCCCCCGGATGCAAGTCCCAATCTCTGCTTCAGGAGCTGACACTTCAGTTTTCCTTAGATTTCTTTCTTTCTCAGTCTCCCTTAAGAGTTTTTAGACAAACAAAAAATGATTCAAGTACTTTAAAGTAGAAGGAAGTTGTTTGTTAAGAAAGTGCGGACATTACTGCAGAGCGTTGCTGTGATATTCTACTTGAGTGTCAGTGGTGGTCAGCAGATAGAGGGCAGAGAAGTATATATAGCCTTTTAAACAGCTCTGTTTTTCTCTTTGAAGTTGTTTGACTTTTGGTTAGGCGGACTGTATGTTAACCAAACAGCACTGAGATTAGGCACTGATACAGCAACAGTGAACCATTGGAACAGCTGTAATTTTGCAATTGCTTGTCACTGTTAATACTTCTTTATACATGTAAAGTTAATCTTGCCCAAGTGAAGAAGCAGGTGACATTTCCAAATACTGAAGATCTGTTGTGAATGTTAGTAGAATACATGCCTTTGTCTGAGAGTTAGCATAGAGCCATAGGCATAATTTTAAACCTTCCTCGTTTCTCAACTTCTCAGGTTTTGAAGTGGGTTTAATATTCATGATTTCCCTTGTTTCATAATTAATTTGATTTATGGCATCTTTCAGGCATTGGCCTCAGAGTAGGTTACAATTACTACCTAATTAATCTTCCCCAAACTACCCTTTGGATAAAGAACATTATGAGTGTTGCAACTGAAAGTCAAGAAGGTGGTGTGGTTTTCCTGGGATCACACAGTGATTCATATACTGGTGGATATGAGATTAATGGTGGAATCTTTCCATTTAAGTTGGTCTTTCAGCATTTTGAGCTGCCCTTCCTTACTGACCAAAATACACATAAAAAATTACAAAGGCAAGAAAAATCTGTTATTGGTTACTATGCTATATTAGCCATTATATTGGCACAGTTTATTCAAATTTGACGTAGGATGACTCTGGGGATGGTAATACTTTATTATCTGTGGCACAGGGTGGATGAGTATTGACTTCTAAGAACCAAACTGCTGCCCAGGGAGAGGCCTAGGCCAGGGGCTCTCCTCAGCTGTCTTGCCCTGTTTCTAAAATAAGTGTATTTGCAGCTTAAGAGTTGATGGGATGACCGTTCCTCGGAAGGCTGTGTCTTATGTATTCATTTAACAAACATTTTGAGCAGCTATTGTGGGCCGGAACCTGTGCTAGGCACTGGGAATGCAACGTTGAACAAGTCTTAATCCCAATGCTTACAGTGGATTTTAGGCACAGGTTTCCCAGGACTGGTCTTTTGGCAAGTCTGGATAACTTTAAAACAGTTATCCTGTTTTAAAACTTTTGTTTGCAAGGCTACCCGCTGAGAGGGAAGTGATTTCCTTTAGATAGGAAGTGTGGCTCTTTGGTAAGTCAAAATTCTGATCCTGGGTAAGTCTCCTGAGGAAGAGTGAGCTGCCTACCCCTGCCCCCATGGCAAAAATCCCTGCTATTTCCTACCACCTGCATATTTCCCCTGTTTTGTGACTGTAGTTAATGGTGTTTTAGTGTTACACTTGCTTTCCTCTCTCTCTCATTCGTTTGTTCATTCACCAGGTGTCTATTAAGTACCCATGTAAGCCACACACTGTTCGTGTACAGAGGATAAAGTGGTAAATGGGGTAAAGGAGACCAGTATCAAATAAGTTAGCAAATAATGTGGTTTCACATAGCGATAAGTGTTATGAAGAAAATAAGAGGATAATGGCATAGACTGAAGTTATGGTGACCACTGCAAGCATGGTCAGGGAAGATATCTGAGAAGGTGACATTTGGGCTGAGACCCAAATGGTGTGAAGGAGCCAGCCAAGTAAGAGTTGTTGAAAAATGTGCTTTTTGCAAAGAGGGAACAGCAAGCACAAAGACTCTGAAACAGGCACAGCAGGGCGTTTTGAAGTTGCTAAAGAAAGCTGATGTCGCCAGGGCGGTAAATCAAGGGAAGAGCATTTGTGACCATGTCTGAAATTATATTGCTGTCTGCTAAGTCTTGCAATTATGGCTGGATAAAAGTGCATGGGAATTGTGTTCATGACTTATTGTAGAGTCCTTGCTTATAGGCCAGTGCTACCAGTGCTAACTATGCATTGAGTAACAGCTGTATATTTATTACATTTATTAACAGGTGTTTCCATTATTTATTCACTTCACAGTATATTCACTGTGTAACAGTGGACTCAACCAACATTCGTTGCATGTCTAGTGTATTCCAGGTGTAGTTCTCACCCTTGAGGAGTTCAGTGTCTAGTGGGGAAATTTTTTTTAAAAGAAATTAAACAACAACTGAACTTGGTGCCGTGGGTTTATTGCAGGGGTGGGCTAGCAGGGGGAGAGTCACAGTTGTTAAATCAGACTTCTCAACATAGGCGATATTTGAGTGGACTTTTGAGGGACGAGTAAAAGTTTGTCAGACATACAATTAGGGAGAAGGCCTCTAGAGGGACAGGACCTGGGCAGGTCCTGGCAAAGAGGCGGGAGGTAATGACTTAGAGGGTTGTTGATTATGGCTGGAGTCAGCAGTTCCTAAGAGGCGTGCAGTGAAATCAGTCCAAGGGCAGGTGAGAAGAGAACTGGGGACAGAACCTGATGAGGGAGAAGAGGAGGAGCCTGGGAAGAAGACTGAGGAGTGGCCAAGGCTCCTCCACCTCGGGATACAGACAGGAGTGAATGATAGAGCAAATTCCTGAGATGCAGCGGGCCCTGTCAGGAATGCTTCACCTGGCCATGGGAGGGAGGATGGGAGATTGTTCTTGGTGATGAGAGCAGTGTTTTCCAAATGCTGCTTGTGTCCTGGCAAAAAATCAGCCATGGAGCTTTCTGAGTGTCCAGATTCCTGGGTCCTATCCCAGAGAGTCGGATTCAGAAGGGCTAATGTAGGGTTCAGAAGTCTGAATTTTAAAAGCATCGCCAGGAGATTCTAATGGACAGACAGATTTAGATCAAGGCAAGATGGTGGCCTGCAGGGGGGTAGGGAGAACAGTTAGAGTCTAGTGGGGAGATGCCGAAGACCCGGATTAAGGTATTAACAGTGAGAATGGGCAGGATGGAGAAGAAAGATTCCAAAGATGTGGAAGCAGGTAGGTTGTGTCAATAAAGCTTGTTGGATTGTGGGGGAGAAAGGAGTTGAAGGTGACTCTGGGTAGACAGATAGTGTTACCGTTCACTAAGATAGGGAATGCAGAGAAGAAGGAGCTCATTTTGGGGGAGGATGAGTTCAATTCTGGACGTGTTTAAAGTTGAGGGGTTTATAAAGTGCAGTTGGAGATACCAGGGGACATTTAGAGAGAGGGAGCTGGACTGGACGTGGTTAGGTGGGAGTTATGCCATGGATGTGAATGAGGGCGTCAGGAGCAGTGAGTAGATTAGAAGGCTGCGGACAGAACTTTAGGCCGTTCCAATATTAATAAGGGATGGGTAGAGGAAGAGGAGACTGCAAAGTAGGCAGAGATGGGTGTTTCTTTGGGAGAAACCTGTCTTCCTCAGTCTGGTTTGATTTACCCTGATTTACCCTCTTTCATTGTAAACAAACTCCTCCAGCTTCTTCACTGTCTCTCGTCACAATGACTCTGATTGCCAGACTCTTGATCCCCTCGTTGTCTCGAGTTTACAGCTCATTTTGGGCACCTTCCATATCCAGTCTGGAACCCAAGTTGTGCTCACTTCAAAACTCTCGGAGGCCTGGTACTGCCATCCTGCTTTCCTCATCTAGCCAGACCCCCAACCTTGTATTAATTTATGGTGTCTAATCTGAGCTGAGTTGCTGGAACCACTGCTCAGTTATGTTTCTTGGATTCGGTCATGTCTGTATGCTGTTCCCTTCATCCCTATCCTCAGGACTGTTCCAGTCTCCACCCATTCCACTCTTAGCCTGTCCAAAAACTAAGGCTATCACCTGGGCAGGCCGTGCCCTAACTTGTGTCTACACTTGAACAGTTGGTAAAGACTTCCCAGTGTAGGCGATAACTGAGCTAATTTTTGAGGGATGGCTAAAAGTTTGTCAGGCATGCAAACTTTGTTCCTTTCCCCCAATCTAGAAGGATGAAGCACCCTTCTCCTAAGAGGCCCACCCTCCATCTATTCTTAACTTGTTCTTTGCTGCCTTTTCTAACGACACTCCTTCATTCTTTCTGGGAGAATGAGCCTGGCACATACTTAAAGCTGATGCTTTCTCCTGTGGGTGCCCAGTGGGCTCCTCAGAGACTCCCAGAGTACTTCAGATCCCTTATCTGTGGAAAGGAGGTAATATTATCTATTTTATTGGGTTGTTATGAAGATTAAAAGAGTTAATATGTGTAAAGCTTCTAGAATTTTGCCATGGTAAATACTCAGTCAGAGTTAAGTACTTTTAACTGGATCCTTCGTCTGAGTCTATCCTTAAATGTACAAAAGCATAACCACCGCATCCATTGACCTTATCCTGTACTTTCCCAACTGCTGACCACTTTCTGTCTTCTTCCCAGCCGACCTTCTGGAGAGATGCCTTCACTTTTTTCCTTCCTCATTTCCCCTCACTCCTTAGCCCTCTGCAGTTTA